ACGGCATCTCTTCTAGTAGTTCGTACAAATTACTTCAGTGTAAAAGCCACACGATATATTCTAGTAGTTCGTACAAATTACTTCAGTGTAAAAGCCACACGATATCTTCTAGTAGTTCGTACAAATTACTTCAGTGTAAAAGCCACACGATATCTTCTAGTATTTCGTACAAATTACTTCAGCGTAAAAGCCACACGATATCTTCTAGTAGTTCGTACAAATTACTTCAGTGTAAAAGCCACACGATATCTTCTAGTAGTTCGTACAAATTACTTCAGTGTAAAAGCCACACGATATCTTCTAGTAGTTCGTACAAATTACTTCAGTGTAAAAGCCACACGATATCTTCTAGTAGTTCGTACAAATTACTTCAGTGTAAAAGCCACACGATATCTTTTAGTAGTTCGTACAAATTACTTCAGTGTAAAAGCCACACGATATCTTCTAGTAGTTCGTACAAATTACTTCAGTGTAAAAGCCACACGATATCTTCTAGTAGTTCGTACAAATTACTTCAGTGTAAAAGCCACACGATATCTTCTAGTAGTTCGTACAAATTACTTCAGTGTAAAAGCCACGATGATATTCTAGTAGTTCGTACAAATTACTTCAGTGTAAAAGCCACACGATATCTTCTAGTAGTTCGTACAAATTACTTCAGTGTAAAAGCCACACGATATCTTCTAGTAGTTCGTACAAATTACTTCAGTGTAAAAGCCACACGATATCTTCTAGTAGTTCGTACAAATTACTTCAGTGTAAAAGCCACACGATATAGTTTAGTAGTTCGTACAAATTACTTCAGTGTAAAAGCCACACGATATCTTATAGTAGTTCGTACAAATTAATTCAGTGTAAAAGCCACACGATATCTTAAAATTTTATCAAAGCATATTTTGTTAAACATGCCAAGTGGTTAAATTTAAAAAAAATGGCCTGTGAGCATTATATACTCATAAAGTACGGGCGCTTGTTGGGTATATAATTTCACCTATAATTTTTTTTAAATTATTAGAAATACATCCACATAGTGGACAAAAGATATTTTTATATGCGATTAAAAGTGTTTAGTGAGCAATTATCAATTTGTGACTGTGATTATTATATTTGTGTGCGTCTTGATTACTGATGACTGTATGTACGTGTTTGTGTGGGTGGGTACGTGGTAGGGTGTGTGCGTAAAGTCAGACTTGTTAGTTTGTACGTGATATGCATTTGTAGATGTAAGTTGAATGTAACGCGATATGCCATAAGCAAATGTGTACCTAAATAAATAAACCATGCAGAAGTAAGGAAATCAATCAATTAACGACCTTAAGGTAATTTATCTTTGGTTTATTCTTTTGCTGTACTTTATTAATTAACTTTTATATACCATTTTTTCAACCACGAAATTTGTCTGTGTTAAAAAAATACTTTAATTAAGTGATGAAGGTCGTTGATTCCTTTTTATAGTTAAGTTCTTTCTAAGTTTAGTTAATGTATTTGGTGCCATATTTTTGAAATAGCTTTCTGAATCCTATAAATTATACAAAATTATCTATTTTTTATAATAAATTTATCAAAATTAATAATATCTTCATAAGCTTTAAAATATTAAAGCATGTTCAAATACCAATCCAGCAAATTAGAAAAAATCTCATGTACATTAAACTACAAATAAAAAATGGATAAATTAAAATTTCATGTATTTCCTCCACGATAGTTCGTTTGTCCTTAAACTTTCCATGTGCCATTACACGGGATATAGGTATGACTGGTTTCTAGAACACCGTAGATCCTTTGTGATCTCTTGGATGACCGCTACTTAACATACATATCATAGCTATTTATCTAGTTGGGGGTCATGGATACGAGTATCGACTGAACCGAATCCTGAGTTGCAATACTATGATGATTGCTTTAATTTTTTTATAATTATAAACCATGCGCATAAATATTACTGATGGCAAGTTTTCGATCAATACATGATGTCATGGCGCTATCTGCAAACTTGCGCTTGTGTTATCATTGTTTCCACCATTCAATTTTATACAAGATTTTTGGCGTAACGTGGTTACTGTTTATTTTTGATGGGGGCTCAGCTGCGTTAATTCTCTACTAATTCCTTTACGAGTATTACCAGTGTCATAAATGTAAATACGTAGTACAATATAATGTAAATTGTGCTGTTTACAACGATTGGGATACGGTAGTGACATAGGGACTCGTCATTTTCTCAGACGTGTAGTAAAGTTTAGGATGCAGTGGACTAAGAAACTATTAAAGCACCTTCAGAAAACAAAGTATTTTTCTTTAAGCAGCTAGTTCCTGATAGGTTTTGAACCTTGGAACTTGGACCCAACATTAGATATGATCGATTTTGCTTATTCGTTATTGTTTGAATGCTCAAGGAGAACTCGAGCTGATTCTTGATTGGTCAGTGCGAAGACGAATTCCTATACATAATATTCGGAATATTTGTTAAGAAATTATGTCAATATTCGACACCGGCAGGACAACGATCAGAAAGATGGTTGTTGTTGTTATTCTCCCATCAATTTTTCTTGATATAAATAATATGATACCAATATCAAAGGTTTATTGCCTATTAGTAACAAAGTGTAAAATTAAAAAATTGTATAATCGACTTCAATATAAATAAAATAAGAACATCATCAATATAGTCGAAGTCAATTAAATACGTGTTGTCAAGGATTACTCAAAAACTACCGATCAAATCTTAATCCAAAATATATGGGACCACATGAGAAGCATCAGCTTTCAAATAAAAGAAGAATTATCAAAATCGGTCCACCTAGGCAAAAAGTTCTGCTGTAACTCACATAAAAGAAATAGAGTCGAATTGAGTATCTGCACCTTTTTTGAAGTCGGTTAAAAATAAAGATATTGTTATGGACAACTGTTTATTACTACAAATGACATTTCTAACAGATGCACGATAAATAGACATAGACATAGACGAGAGACAACGTCGTATCGCTTAATAGGTCGCGTTGTAACAAAGTTTTCTATTAATATTGTTATACGCTTGACATATTTACACAGTAACTAAAATAATAATGTATGTGTGATATAGCCTTATTATGTTGCACCATTATGGTACTGCCCAATCAAGAAACAGTTTTGTAATAATTACATATCTCATTATTTAGGTCCTGTTAGGTTTATAACATTATAAAGTAAAGACTATATAGTACAATTATTAATCGAAATAAAAATATCGATAACGTTGCATTTTTTAAAATATTTTTAATCTTAAATCTTTACGTGTAAACGTTTGTTCTTTTTAAATTTGAAATCCAAATTCAATATCTGAAATATATTTTTAGCATACAGTATAATTTTTAGCATACAATTTAATTTTTAGCATGCAGTTTAATGTTTAGCATACAGTTTAATTTTTAGCATACAGTTTAATTTTTAGCATACAGTTTAATTTTTAGCATACAATTTAATTCCACTTATAGCAGCTAATGAGTACATCGCATTTGGTTGTTGTTGTATTTTAATGGTTTTTAGAATTTCGACAAGAATATTTTTAATATTATTGTTATATTAGATAATTTTTACGAATGACAAAGGTTTGTAATTTTTTGTAAAAAGAGGCAACTTTATTGTACTACTTAAGGTAATAGACTATTCTATAATTTGTAACAAGATATTTGTAAGAGTTAATATGTTAAAATATACACATTTTATATTATTTGTGTAGCGTTTCTTTCGTGAACCATTTATTTTTAAGATTTTTGGTTCTATTGTGAAAGCGGTGTAAGAGAATTGGTCAACCCATTTCGACGTCTGTGGGAAGGGCTAGAATGTTCTTACTGTCTATGCTCTATGACGTCGGTATAACACACAACCATTTTTTTTCTTAATATATTATAACAGTTCAATGTCTAATGTGCAATCGGCCTCACTTATTGTAGGAAAGTTTTGCTTTAATCGAAACGCTTTTTAGGAGATTGACGATCGTAATATGTCTAGCATCATTAACTTTGCTCCTCTTAGTATACGGTCTGAGAATTTAATTCTCAGACCGTCTAAGAGGAGCTCTTATGTTCCTGAGATTATAAGGAGTTTTCGGCCTTTCATTCAGACGACATGACAGATGAAAAATGGTCGAACAAAAGGGGTACTCTCACTCTTCAACAATATATAAGAATAAAAAGAGATAGGTATAGAAATAATTACTATAATAATTGACCGGTAAGTTAATTTTATTAATCCTGCAAAATTTACTCTAAGCGCCATAATGTTGTTTGTACGTGCATTAATTTCTATAATATATCACTTTCTGGTAATTTCTGAATCAAAAGTGATATTTTAATTGTGTTAGAATAACCGCTACAACATGTAAAAGCTGCTGACTCTCATCGGTTAGCCATCACAGATTCTCCTGATGATACCTCATTTAGAGGCGAAAAAGTGTCGTTATTTTGGATGGTGTTGTTTATTCCTAGTGTAGGGCTACACGCTATCGCGATGTCAGCTAAAAATTGTCACATCTTAAGTGAATTATGTAATTAAAAATTTAGGGCGTAATAACTTATAAATTAAAAATTTATTGCGAACAAGTTAAATTGAAGCATCTGTGTAATATCGAAATAACAGGCTCGTATTAAAATGAAGGTTTATTTGTGTGTCAATGACCATTATTAAAATTTTGTCTGTCTGTCTGTCTATTGAGGCTTTTTTTCGAAATGACTGAACCGATTACAATGAAACTTCGAGAACAGAAAGAGAACAAAGCCCGGAGTGATTTAAGCTAGGTGATATTTTATCCGAAATACTTGAAGATTTTCTGTAAAAAATTAAAGATTTATAAATAAAATGGTCTTATGTATGGACACACACAAAAAAATAAAATGCGATAAGGAATTAAAAAAAAAACTTTAATAGTTTAACATAATAACATGCAAAAGAAATAAATAGCAGACTGTAACTATTGCTGGCGGATCGATTGTGTCAGCAGCGCGAGGAGCCGATGTAGAGGAGGCTCAGGTCACCTCCACCTTCTCGCGGACTTTGCGAAGGATACTCTGCAGTTCCGAGGCCGACGTCGTCTTGTACTGCGCAATTGAATATTCACGATATTTAAATAACATCTTTTACTTTTTTGTGATTTAGATTAACACTTGTACTAGGGTTGCCAGGTCCTTAAACCGAAAAGCCGGACAGACCATCCGGCTTAGGCGGTAATTTTGGTAAAAAGGCCGGACACCCTTAATTATTCAGTCTTAGTATAACACGATAATATATTTTTTAAAGTAAAACAATGCTTATATCATTTACCATAAAATCTTAAATTAAAATTGAATGAATCAGTGTTCTTTATTATTAATCATTCAATATTTATTACAATATTTATTTCAATAATTGCAATAGCATGTATTTAGTACATGAAAAATGTAAAAAATGGTCAAATATAAAAATCCAGCAGGCCGGACACCGTCTTATTTGGCCGGACACGTAATCAAAAAGCCTGGCCGTGTTCGGCTTTATCCGGATGCCTGGCAACGCTAAATTGTCCTAGTGTTTAGGCAAACCGTTCGGTTTTATAATTAAAATAATAATAAGTCAAAATAAATATTGTGTAACTTTACCATGTAGTGCTGGTGTAAGAGTGCAGGTGTCGACTTCCCCATGTCATCCCGTGGGTGTCGCAGGAGGCCACGGAGGGAAGTAAAGCGTCTTCATAATAAAGACTAGAAATAAAAAATAGCGGATGCTAACCCGCTTGCCAAGTGTGGCAACTATGGAAAAATTCCTCCTGTCTAAGGGGGAGGTCTATCAGTAATGGGCTGTAACGGTAACGGTTGTTTAACTGGTGTAAGCGTATGTGCCAGTCACAAACATGAAGGTGCAGTTCTGATCTACAGAGAATGCACTGCGTCATATCACCACGTGGGTGTCGTAAGAGGCGACACAGAGGTGACACAGAGGATGGGCAGGAGCTGCCTCCTGATAACACCTCAATAGTAATAAAAGTTGCGACTGCTGAACTGCTTGCCAAGCGAGGACGCTGTGACACATGTCCTCCCGAGGCCTCTGTGCAGCAATGGGCTCTGGATGTATCGTAATGGATGAATAAACAATAAAGTGATAAAATGTCTTAGAACAATATATAACACGCGTAGTACTGAATCATTAAGAGGTGTTTTCAAAACAAAGGGTTTCCTAACACTGACTGGAGTCGATATTTAAATTTTAAATCTGATTCAAAGAAAAAGATTCACAATCAATTTAAATATGATATAAGCTTACCTATTATTAAAAATATGATTTACTATAAAAGTACGTATATTACTGCTATTCGTGTATACAATCAGTTACCAATAGCTATTAAACAATTAAATGGAAATATATTCAAAACAAAATTAAAGAAATTGTTAATGAAAAATGTTTTTTACAAGTGAGTTATTTAATAAAATTAATGTTTGTAAGTAGTAAATTTTAAATTTATTTTCTTAATTGTGGCATAGTTGGGTAAAGTTATCCAACTTGGGTAAAGTGTTAGCCTAAAACTATACGTATTTGTACTAAGATATTGTACACAGTTATGCAATAAATGTATGTTTATCTTTAAAAAAAAAACAAGCCAACTCTCCATGAGTAACTTCAAAAAGGCCCTCACAACAGCATTCGATACAAATAAAATTCATTAACATAAAGATGCAAAATAATAGCGTTGAAAAAGGTGACGGCAAAAAATTCTTGGGTGTAACTCTCGATGGATTTTGTAACTGAAAATAATATATAAATGATGCTGATCCCAATCTAAGCAAATTTACCGACGCGTTTAGAAAGCTTCGGACCGTGTCAGAGAAAAGACTGCAGGTATAGCATACAATTTGGCGTCGTTCTATCACTGTTAAAAACATTTTAACATTGGTAGAGCCACGTGGCGGCTCTTTCTGACAGATGGGCCGGCTCGAACCGGGATGGTACCTCGACCTCATAGAATACCAGCGTGCACTGCGTTTCGCCTGGTAAGTGCAGGTGGCTGAAAATCCCTCGCTGAGCATCCACGCCCAAGTTACCCTACTCTTCCTGGGTGGGTCTACCTGGCCCGGGTGCTCAGACTACCCCACGTATTCTAAGGAGGGGGGGGGGAGTGGGCGTAATTCCGTTCAAGACTAAGACTGCTCAGAGCAAGCGAAGCAATAAGACAAAAGCGACACTAGTGAATTTCTATCCACGACCATCATCTGGTGTCGGCGAAGTGGGTCTTGCTCTTTCTAACCGATATTTTCGAGACATGCGTCCTCTCCGGCTAATACTTCGTATCTATCCTACCCGCAGTACAAATTAGAACACATCTTTGTGCTCCAGGCTGGAATTTGCGTTTACGTCAGAGACGATATCTTTTCAACGTCTTGCCGAGATGAAGTCACTGATGTTTTCAAGGTACGGACCTGTCCAACCTAAGGCTGCGCGTAGACAGCGACGACCATCCCCACGTCTACGGGTCTATATAGGCCCCGTAGCGGTAATGCCGACACAGACCGATTGGTCGACCACGTCCAGATGGCTGGACACTCCGTGCTACAACAGGTCCCATCCGTAGAGATCGTGATGTTTGGTGATTTTAACGCCCACCATGCTAAATGGCTTAGATCCCGATTAACGGAAAATGCGGGAAGATCTGTTTATGACTTTGTCTTGGTATATGGTCTGGTTAACAACTGGTTACTTCATCTACGCGGATACCAGATGTGGAGGATCATGTATCTGCTCATCTCTCACCCAGATGAGTATCAGGTCTCTGTTAAGCCCCTCTTGGCTCTTCGGACTATTGTCTGATCCGGAGTACGGTGCCACTCACGCTCTCATGGCGGTTGCGTTCTACAGGTTGCCGCCGTGTTTGGCAATATAGGTCAGCTGATTGGGACAGCTTGCGGTTTTTTTTGCATCCCCACCCTTGGGGGAGTGGGTTTGCTTCTCGCCGGATGATCCCAACGTTGTTGCTGATTCTGTCGCTGATGTAGTATTTCAGGGAAGGGAATTACTTAATTACATCATCTATGGTGTCTATCGGAGGCAGAACTCAGCCATGGTTTAGTCACAATTTTTTTTAAATTCAAGGGGATCATGTTACTAAATAAAGAACAAGAGGTCGTACTAAAAAATTATTCCGTTTGTAGAACAACTTTAAATAAAAATAATGTTTATTACATGTGCATAGAAGTTTTTAATAAACTGCCTAAGAGTCTAAGAGAACTATCATATAGGTAAATATTTTTAAATTTAGTTAAGAAAATAATTAGTGAATAAGTGCTTTTATACGGTAGAAAATTTCATGTAACACATTCATCTGATTATTTGTGAAATATAATATAATGTAATTAAATAATAATAACTATTCCAAATAATTTATATAGCTTGACATTTTCTTAGCAATACAATAGTATTTTAATTGTTATTCATAATTATAAATATCTGCAAGCCTAATAAAGGCAGAATACGACCTTGCAATCATCATCATCATCATCATTACAGCCCTTCACAAGTCCACTGCTGAACATAGGCCTCCCCCAAGTAATGCCACAAAGCACGGTCCTGAGCCACCTGCATCCATCGACTTCCTGCATGTCTTACCAGATCGTCACTCCATCTAGTGGGGGGTCGCCCTATACTACGCCTATCGGTACGAGGCTGCCACTCGAGAACCTTTCTTCCCCATCGGTTATCGGTTTTTCGAGCTATATGCACTTCAGTTTACTAATCCGTTGGGCTATGTCGGTCACTCTAGTTTTACTGCGGATATCCTCATTTCTGAGTCTATCACGCAGAGAAACTCCGAGCATAGCCCTCTCCATAGCTCGCTGAGCGACCTTGAGCGTCCTCATACGGCCAGCAGTGAAGGACCACGTCTCAGATCCGTAAGTCATCACTGGCAAAACGCACTGGTTATACACTTTAGTTTTCAGATATTGAGGTATACCTGACGCGAAGATGTGTCGTAATTTCCCGAACGCTGCCCAGCCGAGTTGAATCCGTCGATTGACCTCTCGGGCGAAGTTGGACTTACCTAGTGGGACTATTTGTCCCAGGTAAACGTACTCGTCAACAACTTCGAGCATAGTGCTCCCAACAACAACCGGCATAGGTGTGACATGGACATTAAACATGATCTTTGTTTTGTCCATGTTCATCTTAAGACCTATCCGTTGGGAGACACCATTGAGGTCATTGAGCATAGTGCTAAGGTCCTCCAGCGATTCTGCCATAAGGAATATATCGTCGGCAAATCGAAGGTGAGTGATGTACTCGCCATTGATGTTAATACCGTATCCTTCCCAGTCCAGTAGCTTGAAAACGTCTTCCAACGCAGCGGTGAAGAGTTTCGGGGATATAAAATCACCCTGTCTTATACCTCTCTGCAGTTGGATAGGTTTCGAACTCCGGTTCTGTACTCGGATAGCCATCGTAGCCCTACTGTACAAGCACTTCAGGATTTCGATATACCGACAGTCAACTTAATTTACTTATAATAATATTCTTTATTGACATACAATTTGTTACAATATTATTTAAGCCTCTGACTCCCGAGCTAGATTAGAAAACCTGTGTTACGAGAGTCAGCGATCTCCCTAATATAATGACAGCTACTTATTTTATGTAAATAAAGCAATTATAAAATCTATGTGTGCGTGTGTATGAGTGTGTGCAGGTGTACGTGCGTGTGTGTATGTATGTGTGAGTGCGCGCGAGAGTGCGTGCGTTTGCGTGTGTTCGTGTGTGTGGATGGAATTTAAGATTTAAACAATTTTTTATACTAATATCGATTCAGTTTGTTCATAATCCAATCCTAATAGCCAATTCTTAATTTTAATTTTCACTTTTCTACTAACTAGTAGAAAAGTGAACAAATATATAACCCTTAACTAAGGGATATATATTTGTTAACTTATTAATTTTGTTGTATAAATATATAGCTTTATATGCATGTTGCCGTCTAGCAGAGGCTGTTCGACATGTTATTGGTAAACATACATTTTTTATAACCCGGTTTTTGTTATAATCAGTGGCATTATTAATGGTAAAACCATATGCTGTTTAGTAATTA